CCGAATATTTTTGTTTATAAAATATTTACTTTCCATTCAATAAATATTCCAGTCATCTAGTTTTGGATTTGGGGAAATTCATTCTCCTTTTCCCATATATACAGATTGCCGTATTATTTAATAATCAAACCAAACAGCATGTAATCAAAGAACGCTTGTATCCGCCATATGTAATATTGTCACGTGACATTGTTATGTTTTGTTTCGCTCGGGAAGCGTTTATTATACATAATAGAACTCCAGTGTAGTAAGCCATAACTATGAACAATATCATGTCCCAAATAAATAATCTAATTTGTAGATCTGCAATTGGTCACATGATGGTCCGAACATTATTTGTATGGCTCTATTTGTTAACAGCAAATACCGCTTATAATTATCTTGGATAAAATACCTCGTTTAGTAAACGATTTTTTTCTAGTCTGTGCCCGCGTTTATGTCTACTCTTGGCAAAAAAATCATGAAACAAGAATCAAAATGGCCGCCAATCGGGTCTCCAACGCCAATCCAACCTCCCAAGATATAATTTCAAAACAGATTCTTACCTGCTGGTTCAAGTCGAACCGTTTCTGCTTTAATCATAATGTGATTCTGTAATGTAAGTATTTGAACAACATCGTAGCGCCGAACAACTAATGTTAATTAAGCATGATTTCAGAAAAATTGAACAGATTTGATAATAACATGCCGAAATTTTTTTCCTGACCGCGCCATATTATAAACATGAACTTCCGGTTTAAATTGTTGGAGTTTTTTTTAAGGAAACGAAATACTAATATTATACAGAGAAACAATATCGATGCTAAATTACATACATGGTATTATTTTTTTTATATAAATATTCACAAACCTGCGGTCTTGTATTCTATGTGACCATTAGCTTACATTTGTCAAACATATCACTGCTCCAAAATCATTTCAGCACGTTGTTAAATGTTAAATTAATTGTGTGAAATCACTTCATTTAATGTCCGCTTCCACCGAGATGATATCGCAGACAAAATGTAGCCTATAGTACGTTGATTTTATCAACCAATCACATTCAATAACAGTTTTACTTATTTTCTTGTCAACGATTGTCTGCGATATCACCTCGGTGGAAGCGGACGTAAAATACAACAAACTTCTTCTACTCTTGTCAACGCATTTGGAGTCAATTGTTAAAATCACACCGGGCATGAGCGCTCAACAGGCCTTTGATCTACCAGTTTATTGGGCCCAACTTTATTTTAACTACAGACATCTTAACGCCAATTAGCATTCAAGTCTGTCTGGCTATATTGTCTGAGTAAAAAATACCTTTCTCTTACTTGTGGACCCCCGGATTAAGACTTTGTATGGAGTTCAAATTTAAAAAAAAAAATATTTGTTGACGGTACACATTACTTGTGTTAATTATATGGAAAAAACACAAGATTTGTGTTAATGCATTAAAAAGAACACAAGTTTGTGTTAATGCAATGCAAAACAACACATAACTTGTGTAGAATAATTTTCACACAAGTACTTGTGTTGAGATCCAACACAAGTTTATTTTCAGTGCATATAAATTGTTAAAATCGGTTGAAGAGGTGAAGCGAGAAGGATGGTGAGACAATCACATTGCTGTTGTACGCAAAACATTTTAAAGGACGGGGACGGGAACGGGGGGGGGGATTTGCATACATAGCCCTGCCGTGCTGGCGCCCCTGTTCGGGTGTTCAATTTGCTGATCAACCCGTATTGTGTTGTTTTAGGACGTGCACAAGTGATCATGTGAGGAAACGTGGGTGTTCATATAGATTAACACCCCAACATACTAACCCGGTGATTGTGGAAAATAGACCGTGCATTTTCATGCGTGCACTGTATTAGAAATAATAAGAAACACGTATTAATTAAAAACGATAAATACATGTAGTTAACAATAAATAAATGTTTTTTTTTCAAGGATTTATAGTGAAATGGTGAAATGGTAACATTAGCTAGAAAACTCATCCAATAGTATAAGGAAAAAATACACAAATCCTAGCGAACTGAAATAATTTTCAATTTGGTAATTTAGATAATTTTAATCTGTGCTTTTGGGTGTCTATTCTAACTAAAATACCAACCCCAGAAGCTATTTTTTCACATCTCGATACTGTTAGTTTATTCTGTGACTGCAGCATACCTGTTCCCACCATATTAATTTTACATTATCTATTGGCCTGTTGTGGATTTTAAAGATAGGTTGCCAAGCAACCAGTCATACGCCCAGAGCATCTAAGTCGTCAGAGCAGTCAAAAAGGGGTGTCGCATATTTTTTTCTTTTGTCAGTAATGAAAATATTTACTACACTCTAAAATCGGATAATGAGTAACAACCCAGTAAGTAATTGTCAGAAATCATTACAATTTGTTTGGCTTCAAGTTCTGCCCAAGACTAACGTTTAGTACACAAAACATTTAATATCAAGGGCCATAAGTCTGGAAGTAATTATCAAAAATCATTGAAAACAAATAGGATTCTTCGTCTCTTGACCTTAACTGTTTATAAATTTAAAGTCAATCGGATATTCACTTTAGCCTTTAGAGCAGTGGTTCCCAACCTTTTTGTGATAGAGTACCACTTGGGGGTCCCGTACAGATACTCAATTCGATCAAATATCACTTTATTTGCATAATTGATTAATCAATCAAGAAATAAATCGAGAAGTATAGAAATAAAATATAAATAAATATACAAAATAATAATAAGAATAGTAACATACACACTGAGAAAATGATGGGTATTATCTTGTGTTAGGCAGTAAACATTTTTGTGAAGTAAAAAACAAGCCAACAGTGAGGCTGATGCCCCCCGCCGAAATCCCAAAATAAATAGATGACACATATTAATTAATCGCACATTTATTTTTTTCAAAAGTATCGAGCAATCAAACTACACACTAAGTTTCATCACTCTCTATCAGATAGAATCAAGATTATCTTGTCCCAAAACATCGACCAATGAAATTGATTAGCTCTGCTTAACTTTAATTGAGCTTGAAATGTTAATCATTGAAATCAGTCAAGACATTCACTTAATGAACATCTACATCAGGTTTAAACATTCTACCTCAATTAAAAGCAGAGTTTTTATGTTCCAAAGTCTTGACCAATCAAATTGCTTATCGCTCCTTAGCCCAGGCAGAAAATTTGCACCATCGAACTTAGTCAAGGTAATGATATAATGAATCTATATTCAGAATTTCATCGCTCTCACTTCATTATAACCAAAGTTATCGTGCCCCTACAGCATCAACCAATCAGATTGCTTATCTCTGCCTACCGTAAGAAGACACTGTTCATCTTCGAACTCCATCAAGGCATTGACCCAATAAACACCTACACCAAGTTTGAACATTATAGCTCAATTAAGGAGAGTTATTGTGTTCCAAAATCTTGGCAAATCAAATTGCTTATTGCTCTGCTGACCCTGAGCAGAAAATGCTCATTATCGAACTTAGTCAAGGTATCGATGTAATAAAACTATACACCAAGTTTCGTCACTCTCACTTAATTAGAACTAAAGTTATCGTGTCCCAAAGCATCAACAAATCAAATTGCTTATCTCTGCTTACCCTAAGCGGAAAATGTTCATCTTCGAACTCCATCAAGGTATTGACCTTATACACACCTACACCAAGTTTGAACATTCTAGCTCAATTAGAAAGAGAGTTCTTGTGTCCCAAAAAATGTGACGGACAGACAAACAGACAGACAGACGAACAGACGGACGGACGGACGGACGGACGGACCGACAGACGGACAAACCCATTTTATAGTCCCCTGCTTTCTTCGAAAGGCGGGGGACAATAACTAAAAATCGTTCATGACCCCGAAAGTGCTCGCGTACCACCTGGAAGGCCCTCGCGTATCTAGTGGTACGCGTACCACAGGTCTCTAACCACTGCTTTAGAGCGTGGACGCCGGACGGACGTACAGACGGGGATGACGACAATATACTACCCAATTTCAGTATGGGCGTATAAAAAAGTGTCGAAAACTTAAAATCAGCAAAGAGCCTGATTTATCCGTATACGAATCCAAATTTCCCAAAATTGTATTTCAAAAAGCTGACATTGGACATAATCTGAATTATATGCATCGGAAATAAACAGGTATAAACTTGTTATAATAAGGTTATAGACCCCCGCTCCCTAATCTGCTGATTAAACACTAGCTTCGAGAACGTAGCTAAAAACGTTGAGATATACTGATGTGTTTGTTTTTAGCTACGATTGGATGCCTTTAGTTCCAAGTGGCAAACTCAATTTGTTTATTGATGCATGTAACATCTTTAAAATAGATAAGTTTATGCTATTATGACTAATTAAACTATCGCCTAATTCCAAATATTCGCGTTTGAATTAATGAAGCGTTGTTTTTGTCTGACATACACCGCCATTTAAATCCATTCATAGTTAGAGTGCTTTAGACATGCGCCGACACTACACGCCCCTTTTACTTCATTTAAAATCAATGGAATTAATATGTAATTCAATGATTTGCCAAATCCTGTCGGTAATAAAGCAAAAACATCCTTCTTGCCATTTATTATCAGGTCCAAAATAATTTCTAGTTCGGGTTTTAATTCAACATTATCGCCGTAATTTGATTTTATTTTCTGAAATGATTCGCGGATATAACATGTGCATGTCATTTTGTGTGTTGACATGTTCTCCACTTTCGATTGCCTTTTTGATTGGCTGTTATAAAAGCCTTCTATTTAGCCCCGCCTTCATGATGACAGCGTTAAACGTATGCTGTTTAAAAAGATGGCGGCCTTAGTAACGGCTTAACGCCTCGATTATAAATACGACGATTTGTGCCCGTTTCAGGTAGGATTATATGCTTAATTGTAGTTGGGTGTGGCAGAAATATTATAAATAACAATAATCAATCGTTGTTTTGATGAAAAATACGTTAAGTTAATAGGAACAACTCTCATCTCGAAACACGGAGGGTTGAGATGTGTTATCTAATTAAACACCGATATATGACGTATAATATAATGTATTTATACCCCATATACCCCATATAGACGAATTGGGTTGATAAAGGGCCAGCGGAGAAAATGACGCAATGGAAATTCACAATAAGAACACGGAAATTGATGACGTAGAATATTTACACATAATAACTAGACAAAATAATTTACAACCCTACACGACAAAAACATTTGATAAACAGGTTACAAAAAATAAAATAATGATCGAGTCTGCTCTGTAAGATACACCACTTGAACCTGAAATAAAATTATATAAATATTAATATTGAGAGGTCGAATAAACCAAGAACATACTTCGTCGTAGGTCTTGTCAGTCCCTGTGTCCTTCAACACTATATGGGAAACCACGATGGACAATTCCAGGGAACTTTCTGGACCAACATTTGGATCGAACTCCGGGACGCTTGGTAAGTGAGCCAACACCTTACACTTACCGAGTCGCCGTGACGCCCGCGACTCTCTATCAAAGTGGAAGTGGGACTTTAATGTATATATAATTTCCTTTTTATCTATTCCTTTTTTTCGTATTTGTTGTTCAATCTATTGTAATATTATGTAATTTATTTGTAACCGGGAGAGGGATTTATATAGGCTTAGGTTGTAAAACAGACAATGGCGATAAAGGTTACTGAATAAAAACAATTATGTAAACCCGGATCTAGACAAGATATGAGACGTAAAATAATATATAATTACAGGAATAACATATTGTACAATATTATTTAAATAATTCGCTTGTTCGTAGAGGTCTGTAACAGTAGGGGAAATCGGAGGACCCAGAGAAACCTCACGATGTTGGACAAGCGACCCGATCTCTGTTCACGCACAAACTTGGGATGGAAACCAAGCCACTTGACTCCACGATCTAAAGCGCCCCCATTAGATTAAGATGAATTGAAAGTATAGTTTATGTTTCTCTTCTAAAGTACGTAATCATGAATGTGCTAGTAAATAACTGATAGCTTCAAAGAAACATACTTTCCAGTGATGTAAAACACGATAACTGGAATTTTATATTAAGACCCGTATTTTGAGATATTAAACACTCGTCAACGCCACCCCCCCCTCTCTCTCTCCCTCTCTCTCTCTGAAAGGCCCGATTTACATGCACTTCACGTTTGTGAGGTTTGTAATAGTTTCCGGTAGGTTGTTCCAAAGTTTAATTGTGCAAGGAAAAGAAACTATTAGAATACAAATTGGGTTTACAAAATAGTAGATTGAGGTTGATTTCCAATTCATGTTGATTTGTCATCTTGGAATTTCAGTCGCCCATCCCCATCTATATCAATTCGCAAAAACTGCACCTTAAATTGACAGCGCAATCCGGGAAGAAAATATAAGACACCTGGCCTGAACAGGAATACCAAGAGGATGTATATAAGACACGTTATAAACACACTAATAAGAAAGTGACTAGTAATGATGATCCCAGAGGCCAGACGTTTACTGCATCCTCAAGTATGTTTATATGCTGTATTACTGAACATGTAAATCAAAACCATAATAATCATACCACATTATAAAGGAATTATATAGATCTATATTTACATGTAAATCAAAACCATAATATTCATACCACATTATAAAGGGACGTTTTAACGCCGTATAAATACATTTTTAAAGTTTGAAATAATAGGAAATCTCGTGAATATAGATCTATATTTAGAATTATAAGGTTAACTGTTTAATAGATTGAAAGACATTTACCTGGTTCGCCCTCCGGTGCGGGTTCATTTTCAGATCCTGATATCACAATACAATATTAAAGAGTTAATATGATCTTGTTATTAAGTTAATCATAAAGTCAGTATAATAATATAGACAATTTAATTTAAATAAAGACGTTATGGGGGAAATATGAGACACTGTTCATAAACAAAGATCTATGTGCTATTTCACACTGCTACGTGTAGTACGGAAACATTTGAAATTGATTAAAAACCGTGGCCGACAGTTATTTTAAATAAAGTTAAACGTAAAATAAAAATCTGTACGAAATGACAATGATTTTGACTATAAATCGTAAATTTGTATTTAGGATAGCACATTATTTAATGATATCAGATAATGAATATATTATAGACAATATACGTTCGGGTGAGAAATTAAATTAAATGGGGTTTAACGTCCTACTGTTTTGCTCCGACTGGGTTGATGAAGACAGACATACGCGATAAAGTGTGCTATAATGAAAATATTGCCCGAACAACCAAGGGTTCTTTTACGTGCAAGTCAATGTGTACATGGGACCTCGGTTTTTCGTCTCATCCCAACGACTATACGTTGTCCCGTGTCAGGCCCTCCGGTCTGCACCACTAAAAATACGGGACCACGCCGGAAAATCCGATGAACTTTCTTTCTCGACCTTCGGATGAGAAAGTGTTAGTCTAATATCATTAACCCGGTAAGGAGTACCAAAATGTTGAGGTTTATGAAAATGTACAAATTTCCAGCAGAAATAATCAAAACAAATTTTCCAATCAAAACAAATTTTCAAACAAATTTTCCAATCAAAACAAATTTTCCAATCAAAACAAATTTTCATAAGATAGTATATTTCGTTTTATTGTAATTGTATAAAGATAAAGAAAAAAAAATCTCACCGCTGTTTGCGTTGTTTTGTGTACCGGTATTCGTCGTTGGCATTGGGCCTGCTGATATAGAATGTAGTTTTAAAGATATCATGACTACGATAAACTTAATGGACAATGTTGGGGTTCCCCAATATTACACATGTGATAGAACTGGCTAAACACATAATTTTAACTCAGATATCTTTGCTACGATTGATTTGAAGAATCAGAAAGTGAAGCAGTTTTCAGCCCACTGAATATCTGTTCGAAACTAACGAGAGAAAATGTTTATTCCGGTATCCCTATACATCGAGACATACTATCATTATTTTTTCCTTAAAACTTACGACTCTCTCCGCCACATGAATTACAAATCTCAATTTGGCATAAGCTCTAAAATGGCAATTGGGCGTTATTGTCACAAAAATAAATAGCAGAATGAGTTTAGTTTATTTATAGAGCCACCTGGATAACTTTTCAATAAAAATGTAGAGATTTAATTAAAACAAGAGTATACACGGACAAATTATATTTGGAATGTGTTTAACCAGTTCTATCACCAATGTAATATTGGCGGACACCAACGTTGTCCTTTAATGTATAGTATTAATTGGAATGAAAAATGGCTTATCTACATTTCTGAGTTAATCGGGTCAACGAGGACGGTCATACGCTATACAAGGCACTATTACAAAAATTGTACCCTTTTATCAAATTGCCAATCTCATGATATATGAGTATCGGCTTCGGTTTGTTGCCCGATGGGTCCAGACTATTTCCTATGTTGGGCTCTTCATCCTATATCAGGAACGAACCCGGGACATCACAATTGTCGAAATGAAATGGTGTTTAACGTCCTACTGTTCCGCTCCGGCTTGGCTAATAAGACGGGCACACGTCATGCACGCCAATGTGTGCATTGGCCCCAGTTTTTCGTCCCATCCGAATGACTACAAGAAATATTTACGCACGAAACGAAATAACACTTCAGATCACTCTATATATACTCTTCAAAAAAAAGTAGGGGACATTCAGAAACAATACAAAACTGCGGAAATGCACTGCTGTTTTTATTAGAGGTAACCAGTGTATGGTAATAACAGGCCAATTGCCTACACATGAACATAAACAGTTCATATGGGCGGTTTATCTGACTGTCAAAAGTGAAAATCGACGTTTTTGATTTTTGTCTTAATAATGATTAATTGCTCCACCAATCCTCAGACATTCAGCAATTCGTCTTGGCAATCTTGCAGTGTTGTCGGTTGACGTTGACGTTGACTAATACGTCTCCCGATCAAATTAAACGTAACACACTAAAGCAAAGATACGCTAAACAGTAAATCTTATGCAAGAACCGATAGGAAAGCAAACATGGATATGATAAACCAGCACACGGCAGTTTTGTCAACCCTTCCTTTATGTGTCAAATTTGACAATGAACCCCTCCCATGTGTATGGCGCTATTGCGTGTCGTATGTGCAGCTCAGTGGTTCTGTTGGGGCGATAAGTTCTTTATCTGTGAACATATTCTGAAAGCATGTCAAGTGTCCATAACTATTTATCATATCACAACCTGCATAGGAATTTGCATTTCAATATCCCCTACTTTTTTTGAAGAGTATATAACTATGATTTACTGTTACCCACCGATTGTGGTTGCTTCATTCATGTTATTGGTATTTGGTGAATTTGGAGCTAGATATAAAAAAAAATACATTAAGAAATACATAATAAAATGGATTGGAATAGGGTTAAACCTCTACAATACAATCAACGGTTATTTTGAGACTAACATAGGTATTTTGCATTAAATGTTTACTTGTGAAAAATGAAATGAAATGGGGTATAACGTCCTGCTCCGATCGGGCTAATGAAGACGGGTATACGCCATGCAGTGTCTTATGAGGGACATTTTGCCCGGGCAGCGGCACTATGCCCTACTCTTATATCGAATTCCAACTAGCAAGAGACCTTTAACGTGCACCCCAATGTGTACATATGACTTCGGTTTTTTGGACCATCCGAGCGACTAGACAGATGTTATTTTCAGGCCCTCCGTCCTGCAACACTATCTCGTTGGGTCGCGTTCTTTTATAAAAAAAAATGGACGGTGTGGAAGATCATAAGAAGAATCAAAGTGCCATGGAATAATAAAACGACAAAACTAAATAGAAAATATATTTCATACAATCTTCGACGTTTTCCGGTTGTTGAGATCGGATATAACTACTTGATCTGGTGTTGTTGTTTGTAGTGTTTCGCGTCCACTTCTACCGAAGGTGATATCGCACAAGTCATGTCTTATTTATTATTATACTTAGCGCATACGCAGTGGCCATTACTGCTGGAGAAGACCGCAGTATCCGGGGTAAACCCACGAGGTTGAGAAGGCGCCAAATACGCTCCCATCAGGCATCGAAATCACGACCGCGGCCATTTAACCCAAGTAAGTAGACTGCAGATTTACAAGAGAAAGGAAAAAGGGGTAGGTTGCAGCTATCTGATTGGCTGACAAAATTCAAATTTTAATCAATCAGAGAAAGAGAGAGAGAGAGATGGGATTTAACGTCAACTCGACACAAACTAGGTCATTTCGGGACTAACACATGTTTTTATTTTATTTTAATAAATCGCTTGCGCGTAGGGGTCTTTGGCAGTGGGATGAAACTGGAGGACCCGGAGACAACCCATGAGGTTTGGGCAGGCGACCCTACTCCTTGTCACGTACAACCGAGGAATCAAAATCACGCCAGTTGACTCCATGACAGATCTTATGATATAGCTTGCACCTGCTAACCATTTGCCCCTCCCCCCTCGGTGAATACGATGAAGAATCATGTTACCTGTCATTTGATACGTCAGTGTTGTACTAGGCAGTTTTACCCAAAATACAGCATAACTTTTAACGATAGTAAAACTGAAACAAAAGACAGTAGCATTAATTAATATGGCCACAGATCACCAATCACCAATGATTTCCCCATAGACTTTAAAGATACAGTCCCACGAAAGTATTTATCGGGCAGTTATTTCCAGTAAAAGTGTGGCAGATTTGGTATAAATGTACACAGTAAGTAATCACAAATATATTTTAAAAATGGCCCCCCCCCCCTACCCCTTTATCAAGTTACATGACAACCATGGCTTTTAAAAATAGATTTTTATATCTTGGAGTATTTCCTCGCGATTACAATGTTTTGAGAGGTATTTGAAGCAAATGTTAATTAATGTTAATCCTCGTCTCTTAGACCGGATCTAACATTTTCGTTGGGATGGACGCTTTCTACTACCTATGGAGCAACATGTGGCAGGATAACTCTTGCTCAAAAGCATGCATGAGATTCCCCATGAAAAATTTGAAATAAACAAACTGGAAGTAACATACAATTAAACATGTAACTTTTCACCCTACATTTCACCAAACCCTTTTCTTCGATTCTACAACAAAAAGTCACCAAAGGTCGCCTAGCAAAAGGGGCAAGGTAGGAATAATTGGAGATCTGTGTCCATATCATTATATAGAATTGCTACCCACCGACATCTTTAAAAACAAATTGATAGTTATTTGAGATAAGTATATATTCACCTTTTCGTAAATCAAATCGACATATTAGTGATTTATTTGCAGACAAATGGTACGATGGGGGATGGGGGACGGATTAGAGTTGTTATCAGGAACACTGGTGGTGCCGTACGCCCCCTCAAAACCTAATGTATGTAATTTCCATTCGAAGCCAGCCACATCCGAGCTTCATTGATGTTAATGATAACATCAAATTGTTCATATTAGCTGTGTTCCTTATTCAGGATAGCGGATATTCACCTGGATTTTTTTTTGATGGAGGCCCTTAATGGCTCAGTGGAATTGTCGCGAAACTTCTGGAGCAAGAAATAGACATATAACTTACTAGAATATGATATTTCCTATATCTGTTGATGGCGGAGTCCAAGTAAATGTTAAATCCTTTCCATCGACACGGCCTCTGTGGGTAACAGAGTTATCTTCACCAGAACACGCTAAGGTTTGGGTATTTGCTGGTACTGATGAAAATTTCCCAACAGGTGTCGCTCCGCCACTTTCTGTCCTCGCTTGTAAGAGGAAACCGACCATATCCCCCTTTAGTGTAACTGTAAACACAAGACAAAGACTTCAATACATACATACGTGAGAAAACCGTGAAGTGTTATTAGATGTTCTAATGATGAACATTAAAATTACTGATACAGTTCGATATGGTTCATCTAATGACACAGTTAAAAGATCGATATGGTTCATTAAATGACACAGTTCCATATGGTACATCTAATTATAAGTACACAGTCAACAGATCGACGTGGTTCATCAAATGACACAGTATGGTTCAGTCAAAAGATCGATATGGTTCATCAAATGACACAGTTCGATATAGGGCATAACATTACGTACACAATCCACAGATTGACGTGGTTCATCGAATGACACAGTATGGTTCGTCTAATTAATGACCCAGTCTAAAGATCGATATGGTTCATTAAATGACACAGTTCCATATGGTACATATGTTAAGTACACAGTCAACAGATTGACGTAGTTAAGCAAATGACACAGTATGGTTCATCTAATTAATATCACAGTCAAAAGATCAATATGGTTCGTCAAATGATACAGTCAACATATTGATATTGTTCAGTCTAACGACACAGTTCGATATTCTGCATCTATTAACACAGTCAACATATTGATATGGTTCAGTCTAACGACACAGTTCCATATTCTACATCTATTGACACCGACAACATATTGATATGGTTGATCTAGTGACACAGTTCCATATGATGAGTCTTATCTAATAACATAGCCAGGAAATCATTTCACTTCCAATCGACACAAATTATGTTGTTTCAGGACTATCGTAAGTTAAAATTTTAATTCAATAATTCGCTTGCGCTCAGGGTCTGTGAAATTTGGAGGAAAGCGTAGATCCGGAAGAAAATTCTTCTCCTTGGCACGTCATGCGTGGGCTGGAAACTATTCATTGACATAATAATATTATGATCTAAATCTCACGAATTAGATCAATCAACACCCGCCCACCC